ATAACTCCCCATTGCAGAATTTAAGACAAAAGAAGACTGTGTTGAGAATTAGTGTTCTAATTCTAAGACATTTTATATTATTTTGGTATGCTTTGTATGCTTCTAATATTAATATAATTAATTATATTGATATTAATTGTAATTAATTTATTAATTAATTATTGTATTAATTTAATTGTAATTAAATACACTATATTATTAAAACAGTTACTACTTTTTGATCGACTCTTCATCAATCGGCTTCGTAGGATCACCGAAGTTAAGCAACGTCGAGTCTGGTGATTGCTTGGGAATACTAGTCGCTACAAGCTTGGATGTGCAGGTGGTGTAATAGATAATTAATTGGAAATCAGGGAGTCGGGTTTCAGTTCCAGTAAGATTCGTTATATTCCTTTATGCACAAACACCCTTGGGGAAAGTATTAATCCACATCTTCTCCCACTAGCTGTAGGTTAATTCGTAGCACTTGTATCAGCAAATCTGTAGTATTTGCCAAAAACTTTTGCAATCGAAATATATTTTCTAACTTTAAATAACCTGTAAACGGTTGGTAAGCCGTAAAAAATCAATCATTCATATTTCTTATCAATCAATCAATCAATATATATATATATATATATATATATATATATATATATATATATAAAGAAAAACAGACCACTTTAAGATATTAGCTCTGGATTTACATTGAGCTCTCAGGATTTCATCCTCCTTGGGATTACCCATACGGATTACCAAGTTTTTCATAATTAAAATATATATATATATATATATATATATATATATATATATATATATATATATAATTAATTAATTTTTAAAATATGGTTTTTTTCGCTACACAGTTCTAACCATGTTTCAAAAATGGAAGCTAAAAGCCACGAATTTAATTTTTGTGATTAAATCAAAGACATTAGTTCCATTTCATCCTCAAGTGAATTTTGGAGTTAAAAAACCATATTTTAAATCAATTAATTTATAATATTAATGCTCTGTAAATTTACATTGAGCACTATTTTGTAAAAATAAAAATATCTATAAGAACACCGAAATATATATCTTGCTGTTCTTTCTTTTTATTTATATACATATATATATATATATATATATGTATGTGTGTGTGTGTGTGTGTGTGTGTGTGTGTGTAGTATTATTTATATCTGTATCTATATATATATATATATATATATATATATATATTTTTATCTAATAAAATAAAAGTAACAAAAGAAAAATCCACTTACCGTTTTTATGCAATACTGTGCTTCCCAATTCATGATTTAGGAATTGTCCAAAGCTCATTATTAAATGGCTTAATTCATTATTAAGATCTCCAATGTCACTATTCCTATGGAAACCTACGCTGATAAATCTTGGTCCAGGTAAAGGTCCACCAGCGACGCTTTCACATCGAGGAAGTGAAATACCTGAAATAACAAAATTAATTATTTGTACTTTTAATAGTTTCAGCAATTTATATTTTCAATAAGTTCGACAAAAGTGTTAAGAAAATGAATCACAATTGAAGCTAAAATAGAAACTAAAACATCTGCTTCCATAATTAGCTGCAGAAAAGACATATTTATGACAACAGTATCACCTAGCAATAGCAGCAACCAACCGACGTCTATATAAATTCAAGCTGGCAATAGAAACACTCTCTTTTGTGTTTCCCTATACTATAGATCATGGGCACGTGACCGAGCTAGCTTTCTGACCATGAGACCCTAGTTCGAATCCCACCATGGTCAATTTGTCAGAAAAGAGACGTCCTGATGTTATTAGTCTGAAGGAGGCGATCCCAGTGTGCGGCATCTTTGGAAAGTGTCTGACCCAAGCCTTATGAGTAAAAGTGGGTAGACGGTAACCATGGGAGCCGTCGATAGCCGTTCTAGCACGAAGTCACAAGTCATCGTGACCGAGGGTTTGAGTGTGCTGGTGTTGTTCAAATTGTTGATCACGCTAGATAGCAGAAACTAACTGAGGTCTACTCAGCATAGTCGCAGTATTGAATAAACACAAACGTGCCTGAGCAAGCGTCTGCAATAGGGATTGGATAGACGCCCTATTAGTATCCTCGAATACGGGTGGCCAGATATAGATATATAGAGATACTATAGATTATTTTTTCCTGCAGCATAGCAATGTAAGTCATTTTCTTTCTTTCTTTTTTTTTTTTTGTTTAAGTTTTAGACATGTAGACTCTCTGTTCAATGAAAGGCGTACCTTTCTACAGTCAAACCTTTTATTATTTCATTCCCATTGAATAAATGCTGTCTAGAATGTCAAACTTGAATTTCTCTTCCTTTCTTTTATTGAAAAGACATCGAGGGGTACCGAAAACCCCTCGCGAGATAAAAGCATCACTTCAACTGTCTATATCACACTGGTGTTAGAAGTCAGTGTTCGAAACCAGGTCAAAGCCAGGATTGATTTGGAATGCCGATTTTCTAGATCTAGTGGCTCTCCTACTTTGGAAGATTGGCGTAACACAATCTTCTTACTCTGTCTGGTCTTTTGTAATACTAAACTTACGGAGCCTCAATGTAGAGTAAATATTAGCGTGCTCATATAGCAGACTATTATTGCTGCATAACGAGTTCAATTTTTACTGATTGTCCAATTTCTGTAGCCTTGAATCTGGAGAAAAATAAAATGAAATAATATATCTGGGCAGATCCTCTTGTCGTAATGGCTACCGAGCAAGTCTAGCATATCAATAATACTGAGTACTCCACACTTGTAGCCTTGTATTTTACTAAGATAATCTTAGTAAATACTTACAGAATTTTTTTTTATGAAAACATTATGTGACTATGAGAGACGTATGATTGAAGTCCAGAAATTTAAGAAATTATTCATTTTAAAAATCCTTTTGGGATGGTAAACTCCAAAAGATTCTAGGAAGCAAATTCAAGAGCAGTGACTCTCAGCGTGGTCGGTAATGACCTTCTAGGAGCGCTGGGAATTCTCAGGAAGACGACAGATATTTACGGGGTGACATAATTTTACAAGAGATTGCTCAATAAGAGATTCGCGATAAAATTCAAACAAGGGTCTGTAATATTATCGTTCCTGTCCTGGCACCTCGGCTTCAGACACTTTCTCACGCCGTGACGTGGCTTCCCTGTGTTTTTTTCTATAAATATTTTCATGGCAATTGTTCTAATGAACTTTCCTCCATGGTAGCTCGGCCATATGAATTTAAGCTTACTACTAGAGGTCTCATCGTTTTACTGTTGAAATAGCTCGATGTAACCGTAAATTCGATTTTGTTAGTTTCTTCTATCGCACTTCTCGCTCGTGGAACTTCTTTGTCGCATTCATCTGATGTGGGTGATCCCTTTTTCGTCCCGTCATCACTTTTTTTTCAAAAATGGTCCCTTTTCCTCACGTTTCTGCAACGATTCGCAAATGAAAATCCATTGTTATTCTCATTCATCTGATGTGGGTGATCCCTTTTTCGTCTCATCATCATTTTCTTCGAAAAAGGACCCTTTTCCTTACGTTTCTGCAACGAATTGCAAATGAAAATCCATTGTTAGTCGCATTCATTTAATGTGGTAGCCAAACACCAGAGTTGATGCACGTAGTTTTCAACACTCGATTTAGATATTTCTGCCATCATCCTGGTCGTATAACGGGGTTTGGTGTCGACTAATTGTCATAATTAATCTCAATTGTCCGGTAAGAACAAGGTGCATCTTGAACCAAAAAAATTCCCGATCGAAATTTTGAAACCCACTTGTGGCATACACGTTCCGTAATGCCATCTTCTGCCTGCACAGCACACTTCTTCCTGGAAATTTCCGCAAGTTTCTTGTCCCTTTTTTTTTAATAATAAAAAAAGAAGATGTGTCGATAATGTTCGTTTTGGTTTTCCATTTTCAGGGTGTCAAAATACAAAATACACCCTGCCTCGTTGCAAGTTAGCATCGAAAATGTTAAGTATCAAATGAGTGCGCACGCGCAAGTGAAAAACTGAAGTTAGCTACTTATTCGATTGCTCGAAGTTTAATGCCGACAAAACTGACTTTTGGTCAACATAATATTTTTTTCAATTTTTAAAAACAGAAAAAACAAATATGGTGACAAGATTTAAAGACCTTGACAAACGGAAGATATCCGGCTAGGTTATAAATTTATTTGAAGCGAACAAAAATAATGCCTTCTTCACTTCACTAGTAAAAAAACAAAACAACAAAAAAACAAACAACACGTTGATGATGACATTGTGCTAATGTAGAAAGTACTCAGAATAAATAATATGTATCAACACGGTAATTTTCTCTCTTCCTTTAATAATGATACCAAAAACCATGTCTAAATTATTCAATGAAACATGTCTCAATATATATATATATATATATATATATATATATATATATATATATATATATATATATATATATATATATTCGGCCGTACATTGAATATTGTTGTCATGTCTGTTCTGTTGCTTCTGATATATATCTAGAAATTCTAAACAAAATCTAAAAAAGTATTTGTAATATTTAGTCCAGACCTGGCATCGTCACTTCAATTGTTTTTGCTCGCTGTAACATAATTTCCCCATGCCATTTTGTAAATATCTCTATGCCAATTCTTTTGATGAGCTTTCCTCTTTGGTACCCCGACTGCATAAATTTAAACGTGACACTAGTTTGGCAGCTACGTTTCATTATACTGTTGAAATTGCTAGATATAACAATAGGTTTTATCCTAATAGTTTCTTATCTCGTACTTTTCGCCTGTGGAATTCTCCTGCTTTCCTGTGAACTATAATCCCCAAGAATTTAAATGCAATTGTCATGCTCTGTTTTTTTAAATCATGTTTTTTTATTGTCTTTATTATTCAATTTCACTTTCAGTAATCTCTTATGTTGCAGTGGCTTTATCCAATTGTTTGAGTGAAATTATTTAAAGAAAAATGTTTGTTTATATGTATTTATCAAACTTAATAGAAAATAACATACACATTCAATATTAAAACCCAGCAGTTATATTTGGGGTCCTTTGTATTTACTCTGTAAATAAAGGAGAGTTTCAAAATTACCATCTGCGTAATCTGGATCCTGAAGACGACGATATGGCGTATTTGCCTTTCCCCAATATGGTTGATCCAAGTTGTTGCAGGATCCATCAATAGTTCGATAAATTGCGCTCCGATTACAGGGAATCGTCTTTAAGAATGGACAAGTGGCTCGCAGCCTCTTCCCATTTGCCGTCATAACACATTCATCGCTGAAAAATATGATTGTAAATGAAATACAGAAAGACAATGCAAATAAATACAGAAAAGAAATCAGTTATATTTACTTCTTTATCAAAAGTTCCCCCGGGGGTGGGGGTTGTAGGTTTTGTTTTGGTTGTTTTACAGCATATCAACCTCAATAGGTTATTTCAAGCCGGCAAGATTTTCATAACTGGTAATATTTTTTTTCCTCAAAAATGTATTGCTGGTAATATTTTTTTTTTCTTTAAAAACGTATTGCTGCTAATATTTTTTTTTCTTTAAAAATGTATTGCTGGAAATATTTGTTTTTAAAAATATATTTCTGGTAATAATTTTTTACAAAAATGTATTGCTGGCACTAAAACCTATTTTTACATTTTCATAGTGTTTTGACCTCAGTTTGGGTGTCAGCCATTTACTCATAGCTGAGACCCTAACAGGTGCTACCACCCCGGGTCCGGGTGGACCTGGGAACACCAGCAATTAAGAGGTGGTTCCAGGCTCCTTAAAACCTCCTGATCGGAAGCCTTGCTGTCGGACGTAGTTTATCGTCGTACCCAGGACGTAAGGTGAATGAATATAAAGAAAGAGAAAAAGAAGAAAAAATGAGTAAAGAAGAAGAAGAAGAAGAAGAAGAAGAAGAAGAAGAAGAAATAATAGAGCAAAAAGAAAAAAAGTGAATGAGGAGACCAAAAAGAAAATGAGAAAGATGCAATAATAATAATGATAAAGAAAAGGAAAAAGAATAAATATTAATAATATAGAAAGAAAATGACAAAGAAAAAGACGAAATAATATAGAAAAAACCCTAAAAGAACTGAATGATATAAAAGAAGAAAACGACACAGAAGAATTAAACTATAAAAATAAAACGAAAAAGAGAAAAAGAAATAACATACTAACAAAAAGTGATAAAAGAAGAAATACTATGGAAACAGAAAACGAAAAAAAGAGAAAAAAAGAAAAAAACAAGCAGCAATACCACAGAAAAAGAAAACAAAAAGAAAGAAATAATAATATAGAAAAAGAAAACGAGAAAAAAAGAAAGAAAAAAAACGAAGCAATAACAAAAAGAACAAGAGAAAGAAAAAAAAATCTTTTTGTTATCATTCCTAAGCGTTGTTTCGCCATCCATCTACCCGAGGTAACTAGTTTGCTTTGTTTTCCTGTACAATATTCCATCTACCATCTACCTGGTAACTAGTTTGCTTTGTTTTCCTGTACAATATTCCAAAACTAGTTTGCATTGTTTTCCTGTACAATATTCCAGAAACTCAAAAAAACCTGTTAATATTCCATCTACCCGAGGTAACTAGTTTGCTTTGTTTTCCTGTACAATATTCCATCTACCCGAGGTAACTAGTTTGCTTTGTTTTCCTGTACAATATTCCATCTACCCGAGGTAACTAGTTTGCTTTGTTTTCCTGTACAATATTCCATCTACCTGTTTGGTTTTTTTGTTTGTTTTCCTGTACAATATTCCATCTACCTGAGGTAACTAGTTTGCTTTGTTTTCCTTCAATATTCCATCTACCCGAGGTAACTAGTTTGCTTTGTTTTCCTGTACAATATTCCATCTACCTGAGGTAACTAGTTTGCTTTGTTTTCCTGTAAATTTCCATCTACCTGAGGTAACTAGTTTGCTTTGTTTTCCTGTAAATATTCCATCTACCCGAGGTAACTTCTTTGTTTTCCTGTACAATATTCCATCTACCTGAGGTAACCTAGTTTGCTTTGTTTTCCTGTAAAATTTCCATCTACCTGAGGTAACTAGTTTGCTTTTTTTTCCTGTACAATATTCCATCTACCTGAGGTAACTAGTTTGCTTTTGTTTTCCTGTTCCATCTACCTGAGGTAACTAGTTTGCTTTGTTTTCCTGTATCTACCGAGGTTGTTTGCTTTTGTTTTCCTGTAAAATATTCCATCTACCTGAGGTAAAGTTTGCTTTGTTTTCTTCCCCCGAGGTTAGTTTGCATTTTGATCCATGGTATTTTGCTTTGTTTTCCTGTAGCATCCTTTCCATCTACCTGAACTAGTTTGCTTTTTTTCCTGTGCAATTTCCATCTAAAACTTTGTTTTCCTGTATCATTCTTGCCTTTAATTTATCCTGTAAGGATCAAATTTCTTCATGTGACCCCAAAATTTCAACTGTCTCTTCCTAGTGTTGAGTATGTGTTGTTTGTTTAAAATTTACTATAAAACTTCCCCGTTGTTCACATTTTTGATCTATGGTATTCTCAGCATCCTTCTGTAGAACCACATTTCTGTTGCTTCAAAACTGTTCGTTATTGTGAGGAGCATTTACTTCATTGAGAGTAAAATGATATTTTTTCTGTATCTTAATACTTTGCTTAACTTTTGGAAAGCATCTTTCGCTATCCCTTCAGATTTCGATGTCACATTCTTCGCCCTTTGTTAAAACACTTCTCAGGCACTCAAATTACTTGTTTGATTTTGGTATCCTCAATTTATAATTTGCATGTTGGCCTGTACCTTTAGTTAACAAACATGTATTCTTGATGTTAGCGAAAAGAAAACTAATATTTGTATAATCGCACCATCATCATTTGAATTTACTATGTCTAAGCAAGATTTTAATTTTGATCACAGCCCACAGTCTTTACCTTTACTCCTTTACTAAGATTAATCATTTTCTTCAGTATCGAATTAAATATCTCCGACAGTAAGAGAAAAAATTTGGTGATTAAAAACTGAATTTTGAAATTTAGTTAGTTTAGTTTTAACGTCTCTTGAAGTTTATAATATGTATTATTATTATTAGTAGTAGTAGTAGTTGTAGCAGCAGTAGTAGTAGTAGTAGTAGTAGTATGATTCGGTGCTGAAAAGTTCTCGGTTCGACCTGTTACAAATTCATGACGGTCGTTTTCGAGTATAGAATCCAGAGGTTGGCAGTGAATATTTCGGAGACAGTAGGAAAGCGTAGTTAAGGTTCGCAGTGGATATCGCAGCAAAGTAGCAGAGCACTGGTCATTCCGGTAGGATAAACAAAGATGGCCGCCTTTATACACGACGGTACAATGTTCTGCGGCTTCTGATTGGTTAACCTTCTATTGGTGGACTATAAAGGGAGTTAAGTCATTTTCACTAACTCACTAGTCACATATGTATATACGCAAAAAAACTGTAACACATCCTACAATAAGATATTTTAATGACCAGTACTCTTCTGGGTTTGATACTCACCGAAGACAAAATGTTGATGCGTCGACGAATAGCGAACCACTGTAACTGATTTTATCCACCTCCGGTGTCCATTTCTTGTTCGAGTGGTAGTGGGAGTTCGACCCTGCAGGCAAACGTTCTGGTCAAGCGTTAAAAGGAAATAATAGGTTAATGTTGACTAAATACTGCGAATTTCAGCAATATTCCGGTAGATGGAAACATTGTACATGTACATTCAAACAACAAAAGGTCGTTTATTCCGTTTTGGAAAGATATTAATAAATTCTATAATAAAAAAAGGATTCTATAATGAAGAAAGATACATTAACAAAAACTATAATAAAAAAAACATTAATCTATTCTATAAAGCACTACGTGACTTTATTTGCTTGTCCTGCAACATGATTTTTACCTTACTAGTAATGAAATAACCCAAGACATTGCTCAACACCTTTTATCATCATAACAACGGAATATTTCATTATCAAGTAAATGGGATTATTTTGCTAATATATTGCTTTTTCTTTATTGTTACGGCCACATCACGTTGAAGCACCGGTTCCCGTGCGACCACCAAAGTTAATCAACGTCGAGTCTGGTCAGTATCTAGATGACCGCTTGGGAATACCAGGTTCTGTAAGTTTAGGGGTACGGGTGGTGTAATGGACAATGACTCGGAATTTTTAATCGGAGAGCCGAGTTCAAATTCCAGTTGGGTTCGTTATATTCACTTACGCGCATATACCCTTGGGAAAGCTATGACTCCACTTCTTCCCCCCCCCAGGTATGGATTAATTAGTAAGATCTGTATTATGATAATATAATTATCTACAAAAACTTTTTAAAGGATCGCGTAAATATATTTAGATTTCGGTATGAAATAACCCACAGAATTTTATACGTCGTTAAACAAAAAAACATCCGATTTGATTTTGTGCTAGCTTTCTTGGGATACTTTTGATAATTTTAAATGTAGAATTCTTTCTAGCCTGTGGGCGTGTATTTCAAATTTCTCGTCATTACTAAAGAAGAAAGCATCACATGTTTCGGCCTTATTCTCATTCATAGCAGAAGCTGGAGTGAGGTCCGTCAGAAGTCCGTCAGGAGACTGTCAGTCAGTCAGAGCGAGCGAGTCAGTCAGTCGAGTCAGAGGCAGTCCGAAACAGAACCGCGTCACACAATTACTACTAAACCTGATTGTTCGTACTAACACTTTCTACTTTTTTGTACATATTCCTGTTTGTAATATATCTGTGTTATTCCATATCCGTATTCGAGTTCTTCTTTATTGGTTCTACCTTGGACTATCACCTTGGTACAAAGAACCAAGCTGGATTAACACTGCGGATTTTATCACTAAGATCACGTCTTTCGGCCTTTTTCTCTCTAGGAGTGCGATTAATTATACTGACTCATCGACATCAAGTACAGGCTTAACGTGGTAACTTTTCCTCTCGCACAGGAAATGAAAAGGCACACTTACACCCTTGCGCAAATTAATTGAAACAAAACGAATAATTCCGTCATTATTTACTTTTTTCGTATTTTTACAATGAAGCATGACCTAGTGCACATATTAGTACTTCGTATGTCCATTCCCCGAAGTCTTTCATTGCAGATTGACCACAGATTCTCGGTTGGATTTCAATCGGGAGAGTTTCCGGGTCAGTCTATAATAATTTGATTTGCTCACTGGTAATGCCTGCCAGTGTGTTCGTGCAGCGTTACAATTTTCGTACGCTTCCTTGGAGTAACGTCCATTGCAGACAATGGCCGTAGGACCACTTTATGGTACCTTACCCATAATAACATAATGGACTGTTCCATACATAATAAATACTGCGCCTCAAGAGTCCAGTCCGAAGTCGGGCGACCGGCTGATTGGTTGAACTCCCTGCCTTCGGGCGGGGAGGAACCCGGACGAGGCTACGCCGAAGGGCGGATTCTCTTTCGGGGAGGTAAACCGACCCTGAACCCGTTTATACGGGTTCAAAGGGCATATATTTGGCCGAGCCCACGGGCTCGGAGATCCCACGGGCTCGGAGATCGCACGTTAAAACGGCCTTGTGCCACATGATGCCTTCGTGGGGTGGTGACTAAATATTGTTCAGTCCGAAGTCGGACGACCGGCTGATCGGTTGAACTGTCTGCCTTCGGGCGGTGTGGAAGCCGAACGAGGCTACGCCGAAAGGCGGAGTCTCTTTCGGGAGGTAAACCGACTCTGAACCCGTTTATACGGGTTCAAAAAGGCATATTTTTGGCCGAGCACACGGGCTCGGAGAGCCCACGTTAAACCGGCCTTGTGCCACATGATGCCCACGTGGGGTGGTGACTAAATACTGTTCAGTCTGGAGTCTGGAGTGAGGTCCGTCAGAAATCCGTCAGGAGTCCGTCAGTCAGTCGAGTCAAAGGCAGTCCGAAACAGAGTCGAATCAGACAATTACTACTAAACCTGATTGTTTGTACAAACACTTTCTACTTCTCTGTATTTATTCCTGTTTGTAATATATCTGTGTTATTCCATATCCGTATTCGACTTCTTCTTTATTGGTTCTAACTTGGACTATCACCGTGGTACAAGGAACCGGACCATAACACAACTAATCCACAGTCAAGAAAAGAGTATCTGGGCGTGATAAAAATCTGATGCAATCACAATCACGGATGACGCATTATTTTTCAAGGCCAAACAAATTTCATCATGCACCCCGAAAATAGATTCATAATACTGCACACTACTGCAACTGACCTAATCTGAAGAAAAAATAGAAATCTATTACAGCCTCTCACTCCAGTGAGTCTAAAACTGACCGTGTGTTTAAAGAAAGGAAACTAAAGCGGTTGTTTTAATTAATTTACATAAGGGTGTAGCTTGTAGCAATAGTCACAAACTATAACGACTCGGAGATAGCGAATCACTTCAAAGTTACCAGATTAGAAAGAGTAACAGCAGATGACTCTGCATAATAGAGCTACACAAGCTGATGTTCACTAAATTTGCTCGTGAGCAACGTCTTGCCAGCCCATTTTTTCCAGCAGGCGTTCAGAGCTAATGTCCCCACTACACCAAGTGGATAGATATGTAAGTCAGTCCTTGGATCAATGATGGCTGTACGTGAACAATTAGAAAGCTAATCCGTACCCTGTGACCTGTATGAGCACGAAATGGCTGAACATGTGAATTTCTAGCTCTTCTGACTTACATTACTATTTTTTACATGCAAACTAATATCCTCATCTTTGTTATTATTATCACAAAGTAGTTTCTGCCGTTATGCTCTTCAGCCTTCTTCAGTTGTCTGTCGATTTTTCTAACCAACAGCCAGGCTCGTTGGAAGACGACATCGTAGACATGATGGCCAAAGTGAACTGGAACAATTTGATCCGGGTATACAGTCGCTTTTAAGGCCGGATCGAGGTCGGTTTTCTTAAATGTTGCTTTTTTACATTATACTATACAGTATTCTATGGATCTCTCCCCATTCCTTTGTGTATTTAAATGAGTTCTAATGGAGCTATTGTTGGATAAGTGTAACGTAAGTTGTCAGGATAGGCATGTGGTAGTGTGATCAATGTAATTATTTATGAGTTTGATTTGATCAGGAACACAGTTCCTTAAGGGGCATTTGAACTCGTACACAATGTTGAGTCTTTGTAATTTTGATTTTGCAGGTGTGTTGTTATTTTTTATGATAAAGTTAGCTGTTTTAAATTCTTTGTAATAGATAATTAATTTAATTTTCTTGTTCGGATCGACTGGGGTAGTGTATTTATGATATTTTAAGTGAAGATTCATCAGTTGAGGTGTATTTGGCTTTTGTCTGTGTGTTCACTATCGTTATTAATTACTTTTGAAAGAAATATTCTAATCCGGTGGTCGATGAGGTAGTTAGGAAAGTCATTATTAACTAGTGTCTGTTTTGCATCGTTGAGTTCTTTGAGGAGAAGTAGACGAGAGTATGAATTCTCTTCTGCTCTCTTTAGAACTCATTTAAATATGCACAAAAACCTACCAGACTCCATCCGAAACATACTAGTAGAAAGTACAGGCATAATAACTTCATCCACATGTAAAAGAAAAAAAGATTAAAAATAGTAGAAGTCTTAATAATAATAAAAAGAAAAAGACAGCGGTCAATATTGACGTCTTGCTTGGAGTGAAACGATTAAAAAAATTCTCCAGTCGCACATTGAATGTCAGCGACCTCCATGGGGCCTGTCAGCCGCGGTTTGGACATTGCTGTCGTAGAAGATCCATTTTGGACAGTTTTGAACATTTCTGTTGTTAAATATTAATTATGCTCGACAAGTTAATAGATTAGACACTGTAAAAGAAGATGAAATTGCAACAGACCGTTTTACAGCAATGATTCCCAACGTGGAGCGCTTGGTAATATTTTACTGGGGGCATGCGTAGGATGTGCACCCTATTGGCTTACTATACCAACAGAATAAGGGGGCAATTTGAGAATGAGGTATTAACAGTGAATTGTTTTCTAGTGAGCTCAAATTTCAATTTGCCTTATTATTTCATGATTAAAATGATCAAAGTATATTACAGAATAACATTTCATTCAAATATTTTATATTTCTACCTTTCAGTTCTCTATTATATGTTTTGAAACTATATATATTTAACTGTCTTTTTGTTTTTTTTAATTTTTCTCTTTCATGGACGCCATGGTCTTTGGGGGCTTGTTTAGAGACCAAATTAATGGCCTTTTAAGCTTCCTTCACGTGAATTGCAGTAAAAGTTTGAATATGCAAGAATATTACAGGAAGCAGCAGAATTTTAGAAAGACCAAAGTGGGGCATGGCTCCAAATCGGTTAGGAACCACTATGTTACAGGATCAAACGAAGGATAATAAATGTTTATAAGCACTAAATTTACCTACCTTGAAACAGTCCTTGAGTTTTCTGTAATTTCTGAATTTGGATGTCATTGAATTTGAGCAGAAGATCCTGGCAGAAAATCTTGGATTTGCATTCTGATTGTTGGGGAAACCAGACAATCACCAAGAGATAAAAAACGATTCCATTATAATACCTATACAGCAAGAGAAAAATGACTCGTTAACAATATGAAATGTGGTAAAATTCTTCTTTTTTTTTTTACATAAAATGTCTTCTCGGGACATTGGCGAACATAACTTCCTCTCTTTTGTTTCTTGAAATAACTCTAGCCCCTTTACTAACCCTATTAGTCCTTGTTCTACTAGTTATCTAATCCAAAACCTTATTTACATTGTTCGGACTGTTACCTTCATATTCATTGTCATATTCACAACGTTTCAGACGTTGTATGCTCTGGCCTTCTTCAGATTATTGGAATTTCGAACCGAACCCTTTTTTTCGACCACCGGGTAGATTGTTCCAGATCACTCAGTTATTTTTTGGGTTCACCACTGCTGTAACCTGGTATTGAACTCATAACTCTTTGGGTCTAGTCACTGGACCTAACCAACGTTTTTATCCACTGGGCCATGTGTACAATCCAAAACAGTTCAGTAAATCACTTCATTTCCAGCTATTTCTTGTCTTGAGTGTATTAAATGCACTAAGCCTCTTTTTCTCATTATGTGTCTAAACTTTTTCCTGTAGTTCCTTTTATCCTTAAAACTTCCTTGTTACTCACATGT